TTTTTAATGAGTTGTTTCTCTCCTCTCCCCCCAAATCTAGGCTACAGAAGAAGTTTCCAAAAATCTGGTTGCCATGAAAGAAATTCTGTATGGCACGAATGAGAAAGAGCCACAAACAGAGGCGGTGGCGCAGCTCGCTCAAGAACTCTACAACAGCGGGCTCCTGAGCACCCTGGTAGCAGATTTACAGCTCATTGACTTTGAGGTCAGAAATCAGTTTCTTATTTTTCAAAAACAGTACCTTATTCACGGTCCTTTTCCTTGTGTTCTGTCCTTTGAAACATCCTAAGATTCCTGTCGAGCTCTTGGCCCAGGGGTTACTGACCTGTAAGCGAGCCCAGGCTGCCCACCTAATTAGCAGAGCTGGGCAGGAGCTTAGGGGCGCCCCAGGCTTGGGCCAGGTCTCTCTTCTCCTGTTCCACCACGTCGTGTACAAAGCTTCTTAGGTATTCATTGTGCCCTTTTGTTTACATCATATTTAATAAACACCTGCTGTTTCACCTAATTCACTGGCCTTTCGTTCTCAGAGTATAAATCTAAAGACTGTGGAATGTTAGAATTTTAGAGGTAGAAGAGATTTTAGAAGACATCCAGTTATGTATTTGTGTTTTTTGTTTTTTTTAACCTGTTGAGAACTCATTACAGCAGAGATCATGCGTTTTGTTTGCTTGGCACTACTTTTAAATGTTTAAATTAGGATAATGGTTAAATAGCAGGAGATTTTATGCACAGTTTTGAATTTCTGGCTTCCCTTGAAAATTTTAGCTCTGGCAACATTGAGCCTGTGGGCCCACCCGGCCCCTCAGCTGGAACAGAGCAGCCACTACACCATGACATGCTTGGGTGTGCTGCACACAGCAGCTCGCTCTTCTGTCTCAAGGCCTGCTGGGCCCATATGCATCTCCTGCCTGGCCCTGGGAGGCACTTGCTATTACTGCCCAAGCTTATGTAGCTGAATCGTGCCATTTAGCTAGTGAATTTAACGGTGAGAATAATGGTCCTTGACAGCAGTCTGAAAAGTAGTCTGCGAAGTATATATGGTAATGAAGGGCTGTGGCATGGTTAGCAGGTTCCTCTGAGTCTTTGTCACGGGTGGGCTTTGTTTTAAGCCCCAGTGTTTATCATCCTGAGTGGTCGATCAGATGTCTGTGCAGGTGCCTGAAAAACCAGGGGAAAGAATGGCAGATACATAGACAGATTCAGTTTTGAAGAGTCATGAGAGAGTGTGGTTCGTAGGTTGCTTGAATAATATTGGTAATAAAGGACAATAGAAAGTATTGCTATCCTGTAGAACACATAAAAGTGATATTTCCATTTAGGGAGCCGATTTCATGTATTTTTAATAGTGTATCAAATTCCACCAACAACAGTTTTTATTTCCTGCAAAGTGGGGAACGCACTGGAACGTCCAGTTCCTTCTCCTTTGTCCACACATCTCATTCCCCAACGTGGTCACTGAATTTAATGTTCACTTGGGACTTTAGTGACTTAAATTTACCAAGAAGTGTGTGCCCTTGAGATGGGTTCTTAGACTGCCGTTGCCGCTCCTGATCTAGCACAGGCCCCAGGATGATCTCTGGCACTGGAAAGCTAGCATTTCACTCAGTGCCCTGCAGGCTCGTCAGCCTCGTAACAAGTGGCCCTTCTGAAACCTCTCCTGGGGTTCAGTTCTCCGTTTGTTAATTTCTTGTGCAGTTTCTGATTATAAGGTTCACTGTATAGCAGTCACGTCCTTCTATTGCGTTTTGTAAAGCACAGTTACATAATTCTGGTCTCTGAACTGCTACATCATGTGGTACTTAGAACCTTCATGATTAATCTATAGAAAATCTCTCCTGAACAGACCTAACTAAATAGGGGGATATGTCTACTTGCCATGAAAGCTCAGCTTCTTACAGAATTCTTTCATTTTTATTATACTAGCAGCGTGCAGCTTCTCCTCATCCATCAGTATAAGAGGAAATTAACGTGTATTGTTTACAACACGAGCATTTTATTTGAGGCTGTTTGTTCCCTATGGGTGGGAATCAGATCCCTGAACATTGTAAGCATATAGCAAGGTTTTATTTTTCATATCTGAGTCTGCATGATTTTAAGGGTTAGAAATTATATGTAGTAACATTTCACTTTGAATACATTGCTCATGGTAAATATAGTATACTATGAAGACTTAGAATTTGAAATTATAAATAAAGAAAATTTAGTATCTATGAGCACTTTAAAGTCAGCTATTCAGTCATAATTATATAAATATGCAATGCCTTAATTTGAGTTTATTTGGGAGGGTGGCTGGGCTTTTTGGTGGTTAGTCGGGTAAATATTTTAATGATTGTATTCCTAATAGGGCAAAAAAGACGTGGCTCAAATTTTCAACAATATTCTCAGAAGACAAATTGGTACAAGAACTCCTACTGTTGAATACATCTGCACTCAACAGAATATTTTGTTCATGTTATTGAAAGGGTATGTACAATATAACAAAATTTATATTCTCAGTTGAAAAATAAAAAGGAAAGATGGTCTTAGGCAAAAACACGATGGTGAATGTGGGAAAGTATTTTCTCTGTAGTTCAGTCATTTCATTTTCCCATAGATCTTGAACACATTTCCCTCTTTTTTTTTTCTTGTTTATTTAGAGAGAGGAAAAAAAAAAAATGAGCGGGGGAGGGGCAAAGAGGGAGAGAGAGAATCCCAAGCAGGCCCCACACTGTCAGCACAGAGCCTGACACAGGGCTTGAACCCATGAACTGTTGAGATCATGACCTGAGCCTATATCAAGAACTGGACGCTCAACCGACTGAGCTACCCAGGTGCCCTGAACACACTTCCCTCTTAAAATTCAGCCAGTGAGTTAAATTGAATTTGAAAATACCTATGGGAGTTTAAAGGTGGATGAATCGTGAGCCCTTAAAGTCTCAGATCCTATGCAACTGAAGAAAAAAAGTCTTCTGTGGTCTTCTTTCTGTTCTCTAGATTTTAGAAGTTTATTTATATGAAATATCAGTTAAATCATGTGCTTAAAGACATCTTTGGGCAGACATGCACACTGTGAGGCTGTGAAAGCTGCCTAGTAAATGGAGCTTGGATGCTACATAGCTTGACTCTGTTCGGTCAACAAAGGACACGCTTACGAAGTAGTGCTCTTTGCTTTGTACCTGTTTGTGTCCACTCACCAACCGACTTGGTTGGTAATTGACAGTGCATTTAACTACTGGGCTAGTAAGCAGGCATTTGTGGTAGTCTGTCAGTATGAAAAAAACAAACAAACAAAAACCAGAAAAGCCTAAAAACCGAAACCTCAAAAGAAAACCAATCCTCTTCTCCCTCATCAGTGAGCCTCCCCGATTGGCAAGGTCACCTTATTGCTTCACACAGGAGTTGTTCGCCAGCTCTGGGTCTGGTGTGTATCTGTTTGTCCCAGCGTTGGTGCTGTTCTATTAACTTGGCGGACAGGCGTTTTACTGGCATGACTGTTGGCGTGAATCAGCTTGCTCTCCTACCGCTCGCATTGTAGCTTGCCTCCCTCTGATTCACATCTCTGTGGTTTAACACTTCGCCCAAGTTCAAACTTGTTTAGACAAAGCATGAGTCAGTGCATGTGTTTGATGCCAGCATTCTATTTCCTTCATTCTGTTTCTAAATCTCTATGTTGGTTGTTTCTTCAGATGTTGCCATACAGAACTTTTGGCATCTCATTTTTTGTTGTTACCAATCCAGAGTTGTGTGTGTAAGCATGTAGTGAGTAGTTTGAAATTTTGGTGTTCTTAGAGCACCTTCCAGATGCCTTTGTGTATTTTTAAACTGAGTATTTCCTTTTCCGTAGAAAGCAGTGGTGGTTAAAAATCATAAATTAGTTTGCCCGTGTTTTCGCTTTAGAGTAGCCAAAAGAACGATATAAACGTTGTTAAAGTAAGAATTTTAAGGTACAGTTTATCTTTAAATTATCTTTTTCTTAAAAGTTGACAGCTCTCACGTGAGTGGCTGCAGCAGAAACGTCCTCCAGGGAGGCGAGGAGAAGCCCGGGCGGTGCAGCTGGTGCTGGTGCCCGTGCCCGCCAGCGCCTGTCTCCCCGTCCCGTGTAGCCCTTAGGGTGGAAACTGCGCAGAGAACTGGAGGGAATAAAATAGCCATTTCCCACCCGTCACCCAGTGCGGACGGTTATTGACATTCTGTCATTCTTACTTCACATGCTTTGCCTCCTTTTTTCCCTCCTCACACATAAGATTCCTTCAGCGTGCATCCCCAGTACATAGTGCACCCCAGGATTTTTTTTTCCCCTACCATACTCGCCATACCATTTACAGACCTAACATTGTCTTTTACCCAATGTTCAGATGTCCCTGATTTTCACACACAAAAACGGCACTTTTCAGTTAGTTTGTTTAAATCCGGTTCCACGCGAGGTGCACAAACTGAATTTGGTTAATATGACTCTTACACCTTTTTTTTTTTTTTTTATGCCATTTGTTGAAGCAACGGGGTCATATGTTTTGTAGAAAAATCACATATTTTGAATTTTACATCCCTGTGGTTTCATTTAACATGTTCCTTTGTCCTCTTTTCTCTTAAATTGGTGATCAGGTCATTATGAACTCCAGTTGTGGGGTTTTTAAAAATATACTTGGTGTGTTTCAATCCATCACAGTCACGATGTCCAAATTTTTATATCCAAATTGCGTCATCTTGGGCCATCGGGAAGCTCCTTCAAATTGGCTCTTGTGTCCTTTTGGCAGGACCCCATCAGTCTTTGATAGCTTCCTTGCTTTCTGGCACAAGACGTCCCGTGCTGATTTTGTACAGATTCCCGCCTCAGACCTGGAAACAGCCATTTCTTCAAGGAGCCTTGTGAGCTACCTTTTAAGGTTTTTGTACTTCACTTAACGAGTCTAGACTCCTCTCCTGCAGTGTGACCACTGCGTAGGCCGTAAGTGCTTTGACGTTAGCCATCCGGCGGAGTCACTGTGCGTTTCAACATAGGCTTGTCGCTAGTGTTAGGCTGCATCTGGAGGCAGCAGTTTTTTCCCCCGGTGACTTAAATGTGAATGTGCTCTCCACTCTAGTGCTAACAGGTTGTACAGCATAACTGTTTGCCTTGTACTCGATAGTTTATGGCTTAGTCATTTAAGACAAGCTTGAAAAACCACTCAAAACCTGCCCAGCTTGTTGTACCAAACTGTCTTACTCTTGTCTTTCTGGTCTCCTGCTTGTTAAATTCAGATCAGCGAAGGTGAATTGTTGGACCAGCCACTTTGTGGGCAGACGCTGTAGTCACCCAAGTGCCAGTCAGCCTGCTAGAAGCTGTGCCCTAAGTGATCCAGAGGAGTCCTTTCTTGAGGCTCTGTGATGATCCTGTGTGTAACAGAAGGATAACACTGCAGATAACGATTAGGACTGTGGGATAACAGGGGGTGCGGTGTGGGTTTAGTCAATAAGGCAAGGGTTGGGTGAGACTAAGGATTGAAGTTCCAGAGGGTTTAGAATTCTAATAGAAAAAAGGGGAGTGGGTCCAGGGACAGGAATGAACATGGTGATTGGCAGCAATAGGGAGATAATTGGAGTGCTTGATGGCAGAATGGGCGGTGACCTTTTACTGAAGGAGCGGATCTCATGAGCCTGGACGTTTAAGCCCGGAAGTTTGTCTTTATTTGATGGGCAGGAGAAATCATTTTGAACTCCTCAACTGGAAATGCTGTTGATCTACTCGTGTGCTGGGTAAATTCGTTAAGACAGAGCTTAAGCAAAGATGCTGGTGAGGGAGCACTTACCTTTCTCTAGGTGTGGGTTAATGCAGCAGTGGGAATGGATGAAAGGGAATGAAACTAAAATGTTTCAAAGAAGTCTTACAGGGACGAGTGGTGGCTCTAAAGATGGAAGCGTTGAGAAGAGACGGAGGCGGGAGGTTTGAACTATTCTGCCCAGTGCAGTTCTTCCAAGCTGCAGGCGGTCATTTCATTTTGCGTTAACCTAACACGTAAAATTCAGTCCCTCGGTCAAACTAGCCAGATTTGGAGTGCTCAGTAGCCACGTGTGGCTAGTAGTAACTGCAGCTCTAGGACGCTTCCGTTAGCGGACGAGGAGGTTCTGCAAGACCTGTCTTAGACCCGGTTTCTGAAACCACATCATGGTGCCAGAAAACAGAAATGAGGAAGCAGGGGAGGGCGGCTGTTCTGTGGAGGGAGAAGAGATTCGAATTTTGAGATGTAGTGCTACGGTAGACCTTTCACTGGAAGTGTCCAGCGGCAACAGAAAATGCCTGACTAGGGTCCAGGAGCGGACCTGAGCAGGGATTTAGGAGTCACGGGGGGGGGGGGGGGGGGGGGGGGGGGGGGGGGGGGGGGGGGGGGGGGGGGGGGGGGGGGCATGCCCCACCACCAGCAGGCTGGCGGCACCGGAGGGATGCCCTCGGCCAGGCAAGAAAGAGGAACAGTCCGAGGGGTGGAAAGGAGAACTGAGAGCTTTTTCTTTCCTTTTCCAAAGACAGAGATGCAAAGGTCAGCACCATTGGGACACTAAGTAGTGGAATTTATGTCATGAGAGAAGTCTGTTTCGGCCAGGAGGAGGTCCTTGCTAGTTGGATGTGGGGAAATGCAATGAGTGCAGGAGGGTCGAGGGGACGCCGCGTGGGAAGGACACGTGGCCAGCACGTGCAGCCCGAGAGGCAGTGGGAGGGTTGGGGGTGGTGGGGCTGAGAGGAAAACGGGGCTCCTTCCTGACAGGGGAGACGCAGCCATGGGTGCCGAACAGATGCCAGGGCGTCCCCAGTAACCACTGCGAAGTCCCGCAGGGCCTCCTCGACAAGCGCTCTGTGACCGCAGGGTCAGGCCTTCAGCTTCGTAGGCTTGGCATTGCCAAGAGCCTTGGAGGCGCTGTTTTGACTATTGACTTGAAACAACGAAGTAAAAATGCTGCTTATTTGATAGACCTATGAAAACGAATTCGTTTGGGGGTGTGACCCCGAATACTTCTCAAATCTTTTAGCTTCAATAAGGAATGTTTATTTATGTGATCACTCCCATGCCTTTTATTTTTCTTTGGGTTGAAGCAGTTGTTGCCAGCTAGGTGTGTGTGTGTGTGCGTGTGTGCACACACGTGTGTGCGCACACCCTCTGGAGTAAACCCACTTGAGCTCACCACACCCTGCTGTGACAGAGATGCCTTTTGTAACCCACTCTGGTCAATTAAGCCACATCTCAACTTCCTGTTCTAAAAATGTGAACGGTTTAGTGATAGGGGTTTTGAAACAGCAATCATGGTTGGTTTGTTGTTTTTTTTTTTTCGTTTTGCAGGTATGAATCTCCAGAAATAGCTCTAAATTGTGGGATAATGTTAAGAGAATGCATCAGACATGAACCACTTGCAAAAATCATTTTGTGGTCAGAACAATTCTATGACTTCTTCAGATATGTCGAAATGTCAACGTTTGACATAGCTTCAGATGCATTTGCCACATTCAAGGTAACATAAAAACTGTAGAATTCTAAATATACTTGTGAGATTAACCAGTTTGCTGTTCTTTCCTAAACGTCTAACCTCTGAGTCTATACCCGTCTGCCCTCTAGCGGCAAGAGAGAAGATCTGCTTTCTGTGTGTGTGTGTGTGTGTGTGACTTAGGTGTGTGCAGTAGAGTCACAGCTTCGACAGGGTGGGAGGGTTAGATTGCAAACTCTGTCGAAAAGTACGGTCAGTATGGTCACAAGTACACTTTTCTGTGAACATACTCATCAGCCGTGGTATGTTGATACACAGTGTGTGGGACAAACGAGTTTTTCTCCTGTGTTGGAACGTACTGTCACAGTTGCTTTGGTTAAACACCAAGCTGTTGTCTTCTGTTCAGGGCCATGCTAATTTGGAGTATGCGTGTCTTGAAATATTAGAAGCACAATCAGGGCAGAATTTTCCACACTGTGGACAGGCCCTGGGGAACAACGGACTTAGCTCTCCGTCCCATGTTCATGCCAAAGCTTATTTATTGAACGCTCCGGGCAAAGGGAGCAGAATTGCCTGCCCTGTTCACGTTTTTATGTGGCCTCCCTTCCCAGTACGCCCTATCGCCCTGTTCTATATTTGTGTAAATTAAACGCACCTAGGACTCAATAGAACTGTACAACATGCAGATTTTTGTTTTGAATTGCAAGGTTCTGTGCTGTTTACGGTATGTAAAGCAGTAATATTTATTAGTGTTCCTCACAATGAAAGTAAGCCTTTATATGTTACGCTCCCTTATATAAAATGTCTGACCTCATAGGTGACTATTTAGAACCTCTACTTTAATCAGGATTTAACATACTAACCTGCAGACCGCTATGCTCAGGAACCATGGACACTCTTATGGTGAGAAGTAGCCACTTCCTCGTGAGGGTCAGTTTTATGAGGGTAAAGAGCCCTTGAGATAATGAGCATATGCCTTGGTCTCTAGGTAAAATATGTCCCTCACGGTGAATGAACACCCTTAAAACAGGATGAAAACCTGGGCACCTGGCCATTAGGGTTTCACCTGGAATGAGAATAAGGTAATAGAGTGAGAAGTACCCGAGGATTTATTTTCCTGAAACTATTAAAGAGGATGTCAGGAGCCTTAGGTAAGATCTCAGATATTTATATGTCAATTTATAAAGCAGGAAGAAATGAATTCGAGATTATAACATAAAGTGACAAATCTGATGTCTTTGTGTCACTGCATTTTGGGGCTAGGACTCATAATTAGGATATATTGGTGGAAGGGGATGCTCCATTGAAAAGCAGCAGGCCTGTTATGAAGGGAGGTGTGGTAATACCACATGTTGGGAAGAGATCCTGTGTAGAAAGCAAGCCACGAGCCGCGAGCGGCCACTCTGGGAGAGGTGGGGGTGGGGTGGGAAGGAGAGGAGTGGGAGGGGGGTGGGGGGGCACAGTCGTACCTCCCGGCCCAGCGGAGAGCTCGATGCCATGCGCCTGGCGCAGGTGGCACGGCTGGCTGACGGGAAGGGAGACGTGTTAACACTGTGCCAGAAATGTGATTCACAGAATCTGACGGTCTCGATTGGCCTTGCTGATAATTTCCTTATCAGCCCTCAGTTAGGGCTGTTTCTTTGAATTCCATTCTCCCCAAGGAGAAGATGGTGGTGATGGAATCACTGTGGGTAAATCAACCCTGTCAGCTCATGTTAAGCCAGAGAGGAAAAGACTGGGCAGAGCCAGGCAGGTAGTGTCTCCCTGAAGAAGGGAAGCTTTCAAAGGTGGTTCAGGATTCGAAGGATGGACTCTGGAAGAGACCGTGTTTGTTGGGAAGCTGGCTTGGCTTCTGTATCTCAGCCGCTCCTGATTACGCAGAAGGGGCAGCGCTCTCTAAAGAGGCCCCTGAACAGAGAGCTGCCCAAGACAAAACCAAGCAGAGCCCAGACCAAGACGGCATGTGAGAGAGAGGCACGGAACCTATCAGAACACACCTTCCCTCCCCATCCTTCCGAGAGGGAACCCGGTCAGAGCGGTGAGAGTCTGATAGCCTCACGCCAAAGGTGCTGAGGGGGAGGAAGAACTCTCCTGTCCTGGTTTGCTGGCGTCCTTTTTGAGAGAATATTTGCATCACGGAAAAGGAGGGTAGATCCGGGGCTCGCGCTCTCCTTGAAGAATGTGACCAGACCTGTCTCCCCAGAAACTGCACTGTGCACAAAAAAATTTGAAGAAATGCAGCTCATCCATAGACTTGAATTTACAAATCTGTGGAATGGGTGCTGGGTCTCAAAAGGAAATTAAAACTACCCCCTCTAAATTAAAACTAACAAGATCCGTAGCTTGAATGAATGTGTACTAAGATAGTAACTCAGTGGCCAAATATTGTTCATGATTTCTTTTTTGAGGACTTAAGGAGACGGGAGGGGCATCAGAAGGCCAACGAATATATTTCCAATTTTTCCAGAGTAAAAGAAGGTAGATTCCCCAGAGAGGCTGGTGGAGCTTGGAGCTTGATGTTTTACCTGTGTAAGGTTCTAGAAAGTGTTTCTAAAGAGATGATATCTGAGCATTTTGGAAAGGAAACTGTGTACCCACAGCCAGCATGGATTCACGAAGAGTAAGTTCAGTCATAGTAATCTCATAGTTGCCAGTAGATGAGGGTACTCAGAGTGTGGCTGCCCGGGTTCAGTTCCCGGCCCTGCTGCGGATTTCATCTCAAGCTCTTCATCTGTTAAAATGGAGGTAAGAATACTAGTATGTCAGGGTAATATTGTGTCCCCACACAGTGTGTGGAGCAAACAGTAGCTATTAGAATTACTCCTTTATAACTATGAGGATATACTGGATGTTGAATAATTGTACAGATCTGTTTCAATGGAGTCAATGAAAAGACAGGAGCTAGGTAGAATTTCAGTGTAGTGATTTACATCTAACTAAAGGTCATGTGCATAAGGTGCTGCAAAATGGATTGCCATCACCCTGGAGAGAAATTTCTAGTGGATTTCCAGTGGGCTTTGTCTCAGTCCGGCTGAACATTTTTATTAATGACTTAGATAAAATGTGACAAGGCCTACAACTTCTCAAATGTATAGGTGAGAGCTACAAAGGGAAAGACAGCAGACCGTGGTAATCCTAAAATAAGGCTTCAGAATGATCCAGAGAGGCCAGAATGGAACAGAACAAACTGAAGACTTCCACTTGAAGACCCAACTCTATAAATAAGGGATGTGGGAATAAGGCATAATAATATAGTCAATACTAAATATAATAATTGCTAAGTATAACAATTACTAAAGTGCAGGCAATTTCATACCCTACTCAATCAGCTCTCTGGGGGAGGTATTTTTACTATCTCCTTTACAGAGAAAGAAACTGAAGCCTGGAAGTATTGGGTGAGGTCAGGCAAAAAATGGGAGGCCAGAATTTGAACCCAGGCAGTCTGCCTACAGAGCCCACTCTGAGTACACAGAATTCTGAATACGTGCAGTAAAATTAAACAGTATGATGCAGTGCAGTAAAATTAAACAGAGCTACATGTGACCACGTAGTGTGTGACCTAAGGAGCTGTTGATGGTCTGGCCCCACTATGAGCCATTAAGGTAACAGCACATAAATGTGTTCCGTTCCAGGCGCTACACTGTAAGAGGCACATAGACAAATAGATGGCTTTCAGAAGACAGTAGATGGTGAGGGGGACTCAGATCCTGTCTTTCGAGGAGTGGTTAAAGGAACTTGGACGTATTTAGCCTGGAGAAGAGAAGACTCGGTAGGGACTTGCCGTGAGAGCACTTCATGTATGTGGAGTGGGGTCCTATAGAAAGTGGGTTGAACCTATTTCTGTCGGCTCTGACGGTTTCTGGAAATAACCTGGGGACAGGTTTGACTCTAGCACAGGGAGAACTTTCTGTTAAGAGCTCCAAAAGTGAACCACACACATTTGGTAGAGTTGAGTCTCTCATCCTGGTACATGGTCAAGCATCAAGGGAGAAATTGGGCCAAACAACTTGCCAGGGCTCTGTGAAATCGAGCCCCGGAGTCAGCAGCATTTCTTCAGGGATCCCAGGGCTGTCCTTGTAACATGCTGTTTGAGTCCCAGACCCACTTTTAGGAATCTTTCTAAATTCAGTGTACCCTAAAGGTTGGTGCTCAATCTGCTGGGCTCAGGAGATGACCCCTGTCTGCCAGTGCTACCAGGGCCTTGGATGTACTGGAATTTAGGGAGGTGGGAAATCAGATCCTGCTTCCCCTCCCCACTACTAGCCGACCCAGCAGTTTGTGGTCTGGGACCATGTGGCATGCTGGAAATTTTGCAGCTCACTGACCACTGACTGCATGACCTTTCCCCCTCATCTTCTCTTCTGTCGGTTTCTGTCCCCGACCCTGGGGGAGCCCTCCAAAGCATGTGGCTCCAGCTCCTAGGGTGAGATTCCTTCTCATCGCTCAGTAGGTAGAGGCTCTGCCCAAGTCCCCACCTCCTCTCTTCCCAGCTTGGAATCAGCCTTTTTCTCTGTGCTGGCTCTCGGCAGTTCTCCTCTCCTACCAGTGTTTCACTCTCCTCTCCAGGCCCTGGTGTGGCCCTCTTAACAAGGGGCTTTCGTCCTGCTGTGCATTGGGGTCCGTCTCCTATGTTAGCCGTCTCAGAGCACCCCTTCAGTCTCTCCTGCTCCAAGGCCATTGAGATTTGGTTCCTACATTGGCAGTGGTTTCCTGACTTTCCTGGTCTCTTTAAACCAGATGATAATGAAGAAAATCTTCCCTAGTTGGGGAAATGTTGGAGGTCCCCTTTTCGTGTGTGGCCCAGCTGCGAGGCTCTTGTTCCTACTTGAGATCTATCCTTCAGAGTAGTTTTCTTACTCAAAACTTCAGTAAAAATGTATTGCACAACGTGTCTAGGAATTTTGCTTTCTAGAGCAATATCTTCTACCTTCCTGTTCCTGAAATTCAACCGTAGTTGAGAGCCATTGTCTCTAAGATCCCCTCCTTTGCATTCTCTTCTGTCAGATTATGGCAGAGCAGTGAACACCAAGTTCTTTTCTCTGTACTTCCTTCTAGTGGTCTCCAGAATGATTTAGCCACAAAGAAAGTAGAAATGACACATAGTCTTATATGGATCCTGACACACTAATCCCTTAATCCGTTTATTCATTTGTTCATTCGGCTCATTCCACGAGTCTGCCTACCCTGTGTCAGGCACTGTTCTTTAGGTGCTGGGGTTCAACAGTGAACCAGACAAACCCCTGCCCTTGAGGTTCCTACACCGGGGGGACCACCATAAGCAGATTGCAGTAGCTGTAGAAGGAGGAGGTGCCTTTAACAAGCATGCCTCATATATTGCCCTCGAGTTCTCATGTACCTGTCTCTCTAATAGCTGACCCTGTGGGCCAGTACACTAATATAAATTCTCCTCTCCCCACCCCCGTCTCCTCCCCCATACTGGGAAGCTTTTCTCTTACTGGGCATTTCTCTTCCAGCTTCTTGAGGATGCTCAAACTCCAGGTTTTCTAATTTTGTCTATTGAATCCCCAAGGGGGATTTGGAAAAAATTGCCCAAGAAAGGCATACGATGCATACCCTATCCAGCAGTTTGAACACCTGTAAATCTTTGGGGTGGAGTTAGAAACCTTCTTAAAAGCATGCTTTAAGGATTGCTTGATGTGATGTTTTCCCAAACCTGTTTCCTGATTTTGTTGGTTCATTCATTTATGTATTAAATATCACACTCTTCTGTGTGCTGGGCGCTGCATTGGTGCTGGGGATTCAAAGATTCGTAAAAATAGACGTGAACGTGGTATTTATAAAACTTATAGTCTAGCATGGGAGATGGCAGTCATGTAATCTCACAGACGTGAAGACAACTTTGTCCACGCTGGTGACCAGTCTGGAAGCTATGGCAGTGATGTGGGGGCGAGATCCGAAGGTGGTCAGTAGGTCAGCAGGCCAAGGGGAAAGCCTGTGTGAGGAAGGCCTTTTGGGAAGGGCAGTAACACAGTACATGACAGAAGAGCTCCCTGTAGGGTCTCTCGAGACCTGCCAGCTCCCCACAAGGGAACCAGAGCTATAGCATTTTCCACGTGCATTTGGCCATGGGACGTTTCCTCGAACGTTTCTCAGGACCGATCTTACACTTGGACATACCTCAGGAGACAATGGTTCGTTGTGACCTGGGCCACTCAAACATAAACAGCTAAGAGAACAAGGAAAGTTGGTTCGGAGAAAGGGGATTATTGGCACTCACCTCTCCAGTAGGCCGCTCTAAAGGAATTTTATTCCGTAAGTCACCAAATATTGACCATTCGTGTCCTGAGTTCCCATTCTCTTTCCCACGTGGTGAGAACCAGGCTAGTCATTGCTAACTTTTAGGTCCTTAAAGGCGAGGACCACATCTTTTTGTCTTTGGAGCCCCAGCACCTAGAACTTTACCTGGCACATAGTATATGTTTTCTGAATGAAGGATCCTGGAGTTGTTTTCTGGGAAAGCCACGTGGTGAGGAATGCATCTGGGCTCCAGGTCACTCTGATGTTTGACCCTACACTTTGGCAGCCTTGTGCTTACTTAGGAGCTAATGTTTATAACACAATGGGGCTTTTTAAAAACAGTCTGTCTCCGGCAGCTCTTTCTGCCCACGGGTCCTGTCCCTGAGCTTTAATAAAATCACCTTTTTGCATCCAAAAAAAAAAAAAAAAAAAGACTTCATTAGATATGAAACTAAACATAACAGAAGTTAGGAGGAAGAAAATGGAACCTCCAGTACTTTTTCTAATGAAAGAAATTCCCTCTTTCTCCTCCAGAAGCAGTATTCTCTTTGATACTTTACCACAATCGTTTACTTTTCTTTCACTTTATTGCCATGTTCCCTTTCTTTGAATTTGTATTTCTCTTGCCTTATGTGTTTGTTTTTAAATTTTTCCTTCTAAGAGCTGTAGACCCGCGACCAGTCATCACCATCACAATCACAGTTGCCAGTTATTAGTGATTTTATTTGCTCTTCCGTAGAATCCACATTTTCAGTACAACTCATGTGCAACTGTTTTTAAGTATAGTGAGTTTTAACAACAGTTTTTATCAGGTAAAATGGCGTGGCATGTTTTAGGATTCTCTTTCTAAAAGAACTTAAATGCAGAACCGCTGTAAAATAGTGTATTTTCTTTCTCTAGGATTTACTCACAAGACATAAATTGCTCAGTGCAGAATTTTTGGAACAGCATTATGATAAAGTAAGTATATGAAATTCTACTTTAAAACTGTAAGTTTTGTACCAGAAATGAAAGATTGAAATTAGATTGTATCCCGGATACTTATTTTGCATATGTAATGGTTTTAGACAGTGCTGTAATCATTTCTCTACTGAACTAAGGTATTGACTGTTACTTGGTCAGAAGCAGAGTTTTTATCTTTTGATTGACATGCTACCCTTCTTTTCTTGCTTTAGGGGAGGAAGTAAAAGCCCTTTGCTGCCAAAGGACAGTATACATTTTTTTTTTAATATGAAATTTATTGTCAAATTGGTTTCCATACAACACCCAGTGCTCATCCCAACAGGTGCCCTCCTCAATGCCCA